TCGGACCCTCCAGACTGGTACGCCCTGGCTTGCCGTCGTGTGCCGGTCTTTCAGCTAAACATGGATCAGATTAGGAATGCTACGTCTGTCATGTATGCTGATGACTCTAGTATGATTGGACCTTATTACTCGGTGTTGCCTAGCATAGGTGTGTCCACTGTGTCTTGCTCCCCTGTTGTCAGGTGTTGCCTTGTTTAGCCTAGGCTCCACACTAGCCCCCCCGCCGGCTGCCGCTAGCACTTCGCTCTCCTTCACGCTTGACTCTGGTGCGTCTACCTGCTTCTTCCGCGACCACACTTTTCTTACGCCGCTTGCCGCCCCTGCCGCCGTCGCACTTGCAGACCCCTCTTCAGGTCCGGTAGTTGCTCGTAGCTCCACCACCCTTCCCTGTCCGGCGACCCTTTCGGGCTCTCTTACAGGCCTGCACATCCCCTCGTTCTCTAGGAACCTAGTTGGTGTCGGCTGTCTTCAGGACCTTGGCATCACCACTACGTTCCCCGAACACGAGCGATACGTAGTCTGCACCGAGACCGCCACTGGTGCTCCTCTGACCACTTTCCCCCAGGATCCAATGTCCGGCCTGTTTACGCTTAACACTGCGTCCCCCCTGGTAAGGGCGTCCCCCCAAGTTGTTGTGGCTTGCTCATGTCAGTCGCTCACTCACACTTCGCTGCTATGGCACCATTGCCTAGGTCACCCAGCACTCCCACGTCTACGTCACATGTCCTAGCACGGTCTTGTCCTAAGTCTTCCACCGTCGCTTCATGCCCTCCCTCCCTTATCTGCGCCGCCGTGCACGCCCTGCGTTGAGGGCCGGCTCCGCCGTGCTCCTCACTCCTCCTCGCTTCATCCTACCACCGCACCCCTCCAGACCCTGCACCTGGACGTCTGGGGTCCAGACCCCATCCCTAAGCCGCGTTGAGAGCGCTACTTCCTGGTGCTTGTCGACGACTATACGCGCTACACCACGGTGTTTCCTCTGGAGCGGAAGGACGGCGTGCCTGAAGTTCTTGTCCCGTGGGTCATAGCTGCACGAGTCCACCGCAGTCTCCCCGTGCTGTGTCTCCACTCCGACCGTGGCGACGAGTTTGCCTATGGTCGGCTTGGCCGGTTCTGTTGTGCGGAGGGTATCACCCAGTCGTACACCCTGCCATACTCCCCACAGCAGAATGGGGTCGCTGAGCGACGCATCAGCTTGGTTATGGAGGTGGCTCGTATCTCCATGATCCATGCCGATGCGTTCCATTTTCTATGACCGTTCGCTGTTCGCTACGCCGCTCACCAGCTGAACCTGTGGCCCCACTCCCAGCGGCCGCAGGTTTCACCGACCCTCCTCTGGACCGTGTCTCCTGGTGACGTGTCTTTGTTCCACGTCTGGGGATGCCTCACTCACGTTCGTTCCTCAGGCAAGGAAAAGCTCATTGCCCGCACTGTCCCCTGTGTCTTCCTTGGTTTCCCCCTTGACTCGTCTGACTGGCACTTTTACCACCCGCCGTCTCACCGCTTCTTTCATTCGCGTACGTCACTTTCGACGAGCCTGTCTCCTTTGACCATCGCTTTCCGCACTGAGGTCTTCCGGTTTCCCCACCCATGTTTCTGGTTCCCACTCCCCTGGTAGCCCGTGCTCTACTCCCTCCCCGTACTGCTCCGTTTGGTGTGTCTCACGTCACTCCGCTCCCGTCGGTTATCCCGGTCGAGTCAGCTGACTCTGGTGGCCCTGCGGTGCAGTTCTCGTAGCCTGCCTCTCCCCCGGTGCCTCGTCCTCCGTCGTTGTAGTCGCCGCCGCAGTAGCAGTAGCCGCCGCCACCGCAGCAGCCGTCGTAGCCGCCGCCGCCACTGCCGCAACAGCAGCAGTCGTCCGTGGATTCTAGGGGTGCTGGTGTTGAGGAGGGTGCTGGTTCTGGGGTCCCTCTCGTGGCTTACCCCGGTGGGCCTGGGGTGGCACTGGTGCTAGAGAGAGTTCTCGCTCTGGGGGTGATCGTTATGGGGCTGCTGGAGTGGAGTGTTTTGGTGGTAGCCGTGGTGCAGCTGGCGGTCCAGGTGTCGGCGTCGAGCAGCAGCAGCTGTAGCAGTCGCCGCCGGTGTCCGTCCTTCGCCTGCTTGGCCTTCCCTTCCCTGACAGCTCACATGCGCCTCCCCTGCCGCCTCCTCCCCTTCCTGTCCACGATCCTGTGTTTCCTTTGCCGAATTCGTCGCGCGCCCGTTTCCCACCTCGTTCCCCTCCTGTGCCCCCTCCTCTCTCTCCTGACCAGTCACATCCGTCTCCTGTCTGGTCCCGTTGTCCCTCTCGTGCTCATCCTCTCTCCCCTGTTACGCATTCTCACCCTATGTTGCTTTGTTCCCATGCGTCTCGTCCTCCCCCTGTGCCTTCGCCTCTTCCTTCGTCTCTTGCTGTTGCGCCTCCCCTTCTGTCTGACTACCATCGTGTTGCTCGTCCTCTTGTTCCTCGGGTCCTTGCCTCCCTCGTTACCGACCCGTCTGTTCCTCACTCGAGTCTTGACGCTCTTGTCGCTGCTGTCGCTGACTTCGCCTCTATCTGTCGCCTTGACTACGCCACCGCTCTGGTCTCTAACCTTGCCTGTCCTCCGTCCGTCGGGTGCTCGTGCCCTTGGCAGTGACATTCTAGAGGAGAGGCAGTACGAGCTTGCTTTCCTGTCTGAGGCTGCTCCCCATCTTATTCCATGCTGCTAGTCCCCGAGGGTGACCCAGACGTCCTTGACATCCCGACCCCTCGCACTTACGCTGAGGAGAACTCGGGGCCTGGGCCTCTCAGTGGATAGCTGTCATGGAGCTGGAGATGGCATCTTGGGAGATCCACCGGCACCTACGTCGACGCAGATACCCCCACACGGGGTGAACGTAGTCGATGGCCGATGGCTCTTCAAAGTGAAGTACCCTCCTGGAGAGCCGTCTGTGTTCAAGGCGCGCTACGTGGCTAGAGGCTTCAGTCAGCGTGAGGGGGTGGACTTCTTTCAGACCTTCGTCTCGACCCCGAAGATGACTACTCTTCGGGCGCTGCTACACCGTAGCGGCACATCGTGACTACGAGCTCCACTCTCTTGACATCTCCACGGGCGTTTCTTCATGGCAGCCTATACGAGCAGGTGTACATGCGCCATCCATAGGGATTCACAGGTACCTTCAATCCTGGGACCCAGTGGCTCCTCTGGCGCCCGATCTATGGCCTACGACAGGCGCTCCATGAGTGGCACGACACGCTGCGCGCTACGCTAGTTGACCTGCAGTTCTTTCCGTCCTCTGCAGACCCCTCGCTCTTTGTTCCTGGCTGGCCAGACTCCGTTTTACATCCTTGTCTACTTAGACGACCTGGTCTTCGCTACTGCAGACAGAGATGCACTGGCCTCTGTAAAGGGTGAGCTGATGAGGAGACAGACCTGCACTTTACCTAGGAGAGTTACGCCGGCTACCTTGGCCTGCAGATCTCCAGGGACAGAGCAGCGCGCACCATCACTCTCATACAGTCACACTTGGTGTGGTCCTTCAGAGCTTCGGTCTTCAGTTCTCCTCCGCACAGCCCACACCTCTGCCAATAGACCACAGGCTCTCAGCTCTTGTTCTTGAGGAGTCAGTAGAGCCTAGTGGTCCTTACGAAGAGCTGGTGGGTTGCCTCATGTACCTGATGACTTGCACTCGTCCAGATCTCGCATACCCTCTCAGCATCCTGGCTCGCTTTGTGGCCACCGGTAGACACCGACCACATCACTGGTCGGGCCGCTAAGAGGGTTTTGCGTTATCTAGCAAGTATATCAGGCATGGGACTAGTACTCGGAGGACGTAAGCAGTGGTCCTTACTGGGCAGACTGACGCTTCTAGGGCAGACGACGCTGAGACCCTCAGGTCCTCTCAGGGCTATTTCTTTAGCCTTAGTGCAGGTGCGGTCTCGTGGAGGTCCACCCGCTCGTCGTCTGCTGCACAGTCCAGCTGCAAGGCTGGGATCTACACCAGTGCCATGGCGGCATAGTAGCTCCCTGGCTCACTTTCTTGCTCATTGACTTAGGTGAGCGGCCTAGCTCTGCCCTAGTCCTATATGCTGACAACAGGGCCATGATCCTCCTGTGTTAGAAGCCTCGACTAGAGGGCAGAGCGAAGCACATCCAGCTGCGGTACTTCCTCCTACGCGAGTTGCAGCAGTGCCGCAATACCCGCGTAGTACACATGGCTTCGGTACCAACACAGGTGATATCTTTACTTAGGCGCTTGCGCCTAAAGATCATCAGCGGTACTGTGTACAGCTTGGTCTAGTTCCTGTAGCTTCTCACTTGCTAAGACCCTGATTGTGTACGCCTTTCTCTTGACTGGCTTTGTGGCTCCTGTCCCAGTGGCTGGACTAGTAGTACCGCCCTTGGTTGCTCTTGTTTGGCTTGTACTCTTGCTGACTGGTCTTCGGACCCTTGCCTTTGAGGCTGGACTCGTAGTGTTGCCCTGAGCTGTGTGTCAATTTCCAGGCACTGCCCCTCATCTGGCCTAGGGGGTGTGTCAAACATATTTGTATATATTATAATAGGCTAGATAGGTGCATGCTTTTAGAGGGTACAACCACTTGAACAAAATCAACCTGTATGCCTCATTCTGGTTACTTTTTCTACTCCGGGACCCACTTCATAGGACTTCACCCTTATTTGACCCGAAAAGGCGTTCCCGCTATTGACCACCTTCCTTAAGAGGGGGGGGGGTAACTGTAGGTTTTTTATTCCTTACCGGGTTGTACTGCCATCGCGTACACCCGAAACCTCGGAAGACCAGGCTCGGTCCGATTCCGACGCAAACCCGAGGCTGGCTCGCGTCGCCTTCGGCTCTTTCAACCGCGCCTGTACCCAACCTAGCCGTCTGGGCTCGTCGTCTAGCTAGAGTTCTCGCTATATAATGCTAGGCTCTCATTCTTGTACTCGTCATTATTATTCCGCGCACTCTCAGTTATTATTCATAACACCATCTCACCAGCTTGGAAGCAAATTTAGGTTCTTGCCACAAGTGGGTTCTGTTGCGACAATGATTAATTTTCGTAAATACCAAGTTTCATCAAATCCAGGTACGTAGGAGTACGTTATACACCCTGAGGCGCAATTACAGCTCGAGTTACCCGTGTAACACGCTTGGCAATAGGAATAAGTGGAGGTACATGAGGGCTGTGAGGACCAGTGCCAGAGCCGCTACTACTTGCCCAGCTAGTCTCCCCCATGCGAGATCCATCCTTTGTACGCCTCGTCTCACCACCCATGACACACTGCTTGTTACTCGCACCGCCATCCTCCTTTTTTCCGCATGTGGTGTTACGGGTCGTCGTGCCGCTCTTGCCAGGCTGACAAGAAGACGAGGTTGCACCTTTTCCAGTGGCAACGGTCGTGGTATGGGCAGTGGACGGAGGGGAAAGGGGAGGAGTACGGGGTTGAAGCGGGGTGGGGGACTGTGGAGTGTTGGGGGAGTGGGGAGAGAGGAGAGTAGTGGGGGAGCGAGGAGAGAGGAGAGTGGTGTGGGAGCGGGGAGAGAGACGCATGGTTGAGGAATTGGAAGCAGGTGCAGCTGATTGCACATTGGAAGGCTTCTTCAAGACGGATTTTCGCCGGAAGACAGCTGCCGTGTGGCCGGTATCCGTCGTCTCGTAGTCGCCGGTGCTCGGCTGAGGGTGGTTGCTGTTAGAGTTGCTGTAATTGTTGTTGCTGTAATCGCTGCTGCAATCGTTGCTGTAAGTGTTGTTGCTGCTGCCGCTCATATTACCGAAGCCATTGCTGTTGAAATCAGCCAACCCATAGTCGCTATTTCGAGTCCCATCGCTCCATTCCTTTCCAGCAGCAGCAGCAGCACCGCCACCACTGCCATTGTATTGTCGTTGGCACACGGCACTTCTCTGCATGGTCGCAGCAGCACGGGTCACAAACGGCGAGGGACCACTGCCTCGTCCCCCCCTCGCCCTTGCGCGCACCCGGCCACTACCAGCGCTAGCAGCAGCGGCAGCTGCCACAGCAGCAGCGAGATCCGATGACCCGAACGAAGGGCCGAGATCGCTCGACAGCCGGCCAATCCCGGAGCCCGCGGGAGTGAGAGACACGGGCGTGCAGCCGGCAGGAGTGCTGTAGGCTGACTGGGAAATGGTTACATGAGGAGTGGAGGAGGAGGGAGTGAAGGAGGAAGAGTAAAGCAAGGAGGGAGAGGGAATCGAGGGGATTGAGGAGCTAAAGGAGGATGATTTAAGACTGGCAGTGGTGTTGGTGGAGAGGGGGACAGAGAAGAAGGAGGAGGCGGGTGGAGAAGCCTGGAATGAGGAGGGGAAGCGGCGGTTTCTAGCGGCCATGAGGCTCTGCTTCTGCTGCTGCTGCTGCTGCTTCTGGAGCTCCAGGGTGGCTGATGCCCGCATGGCTGCAGCTAGTATGGGGGATGAGGAGCGGCGGGAGGCAGTTGCCGCTGCAACAGCAGCAGCAGCAGGAGCACAGGGAGCAGCAGCAGCAGCAGTAGTAGCAGCAGGAGAAGTACCCCCACTGCCTCTCCCTCTCGCCCTCTGGCCTACCCCCTCCCCTGCCACGCCCCTATGCTCTATCCCATCTGCCCTCCTAACACCATCCAGTTTCCTTCCTTCAGTGGACCTTCTCTCGAAGACCCCTCCCCGCTCCTCTGAAACAGCTGAGACTCCAAGTGAATCTTTTTCCGCACGGCGGTCGAGTTCGAACAAGACTTGAGAGGAGGGAGCGGTGTTTGCCTTTTGGAACGGGGCGGCAGAAGAGGAGGAAGAGGAGGAGGAGGCAGAGGGAGAGGCCGACGGGGAGGCAAGGAGGGAGATCTCTGGAGCTGCAGCAAAAATGGCAGTTGGGTCAGCAGCGGTCGCTATAATCCCCCCTGTTGCCCTACCAGAGGGTGCTTTACTCCCTGTTGATGTAACCACTGCTGGTGTAACCACCGTTGATTCAACCGGGGCATCTGGGACGTTCGCATCCCCTCCTCGGTTCAAAACTCCCCTCTTGCCCTTCCCCCGTGGAGTTTTCGCGCCACAAGCGGTTTGAGGCGTCTCAAATCCCTTCTTCCGAGTGACCTTGCCTCCCCCTTTGGGTGAGTGCCCCACTGGGTTTCTTGCTGCTGCATCTGCTGACGTTGTGCCGCCTGTGTTCTCACCCTTGTCTTCTTCCTTTTGCAGGGTGTTTTTGAGAATTCTAAAAAACACTTGATTCTCACCCTCGTCTTCTTCCTCTGGGTCAACTTTCAGAGGAATCCAATAACGTTCAGCTGCTTGTGTTCTCGCACCTCCTGGCGCTTCATAAGTACTCTCTTCCCCTGCTGCTGCTGCTGCTGCTGTTTCACTGGCCCTCTCCTCTCCTCCTGCTCCTCCTGCTCCTCCTGCTCCTCCTGTTCCTCCTCCTTCTCCTCCTTCTCCTTCTGCTCCTCCTGTTCCTCCTCCTTCTCCTCCTTCTCCTCCTTCTCCTCCTGCTCCTCCTGTTCCTCCTGTTCCTCCTCCTTCTCCTCCTGCTCCTGCTCCTGCTCCTCCGCCTGTGGTTTCTGCTGCCCCTTCTTTTTCTGCCAGCCTCATCATGTTCGCATGCTTTGCTGCCCGCCGGGCAGCCTGGAGTATTTCAGATGCCCGGCGGCTCCCGTGCCCCGACCCCTCGCCTTTCCTCACAGCTCCTCGGTACTCAGAGCTTTTGCTTCTGCCCGAAGCCACGAGGGGAAACTCCCCTACCAGATCCAGAGCCGAGTCTTCCCCAGCGAGACTTCTCTCTCCTTGCTCAATCTGACCCCCTTGCTCTATCTTCACCAATATTGGCTCCTCTGCCCCAGTGCTCTTGCTCCTCTTTGCCTTCACTTTCTTGACTACCCTTCTCCCAGAACCAGACGCGTCTCTCGCAGCAGCGTTAGCAGCATCAACAGATGCAGCAGCAGCAGCAGCAGCATCGGAGCCTCTAGTAGCACCAGAATCACTAGCAGAAGCAGCAGCAGCAGCGGCGGCGGCGGCATCAACAGATGCAACAGCAGCAGCAGCAGCAGCAGCAGCAGAAGAAGCAAGAGCAGAACCAGCACTGCTACCGCCATGGAAGCTTTTGCCTCCACCTTTCACGCCCCCCACTTTCACGCCTCCATCTTTCCCACCAGCACCTCTCACTCCCCCCGATGAACTCCCCGCACTCCTTGCTCTCCTCATCTCCTTGACTGGACTCCCCCCGCCCGTTACAGTCACACCCGTGCTGCCCTGACTTCCGTTATAGTCAAACTTGTTGCTCATACTAGTACTACTTGTATTACCCCTTAAGTTGCTGCCAAGCCTCCTACTCTGGTGCCCTCCCTCCCCCTCCTCCCCCGCGCCCTGCTCCCCCCCACCTAGTGACACGTGGGAATCTGCATGGTCCCCCCAATCTTGCCACTCCTCCCACTCCTCCCTCCCTCGCGGCGATTCCTCGTTACTAGCAGCACCGGCACCAGCAGCAGCAGCAGACGCAGCAGCATTCGAAGGTGATGAAGCGGGCAGGGCGTTGCTGCTGCGATTGCGGCGGTGCCTGAGAGGCTGAGACAGCAGCAGATGCGGCTCTTGACGATTCTCAAACAGCTTTGCAGGGTGAGAGAGCAGCAGTTGAGGCTTCTGGGCATTGTCAAACAGCTTTAATGGCTGAGACAGCAGCAACTGAGCCTTGCGGCTCCGCCCTTTAGCGACAGTAGCACCTGCTGCGGCGGCACCAGCAGCACCAGCAGCACCAGCAGCACCAGCAGCACCAGAAACATCACCAGATGCAGCAGAAACAGCAGTCAACGCACCATTGGCAGTTTGGCATGCATCAAGCGAAGCAAAGGAAGAGCGGCGGGGGGTGGTGGGAGGATGAGAGGCGGAAAGAGAGCCGATAGCAGCGTGGGGGGAAGCTACAGGCATGGCTGGGTTAGTGGAAGCAAGGGAGGTGCTGATAGAAGCATGGGAGGCGGAGCGAGTATGGAGCACCACAGCAGCAGCGGACGCCATGCGACGGTGCTGCTTCAACGGGCCAGAGCGCGGCTTCTGTCTGGCCTCTGTGTTGCCACGTGTCATGCTGTTACCACCTGCCATGTGGTTACCACTGGCCATGCTGTTACCACCTGCCATGTGGTTACCACTGGCCATGCTGTTACCACCTGCCATGTGGTTACCACAGGCCATGCTGTTACCGCTGTGGAAGGTGTTACCAGTGGAATAGGTAGTGCCAGTAGAGCAAGATTCTGGAAGGAGAGGGGATTGGGGTAATCGTGGGCTTAGAGGAACAGAAAGAGGAACATCAGCAAGAGGAACTTGGGCATTAGCTTGTGCTTTAACTTGTGCATTAACTTGTGCATTAGCTTCTGCTGCTGTTCCTCTTGCTGCTTCTGAGTTCCCTTGGTGATGTTCCCAGCCGCCCCTCTGGTTGCCACTGCTGGTGGCAGGTCTCTGGTCCACGTCCTGCGAACCCTCTATAGCACTGGCTTCGCTACACGCTGTAGCAACCGCTTGCTCGCTGTAGCTTTTACTGCGGCCGATGAGCAGCGCGGAGGACACGGTTGTGGATTGCAGCCTAGGCGCTGAGATGTCGATTGAGGAGTGCACCTTCCCACTCAACCCTCCAGTTTCTTCTCTTCCTCCTCTTCCTCCTCTTCCTCCCTCCAGCCCCTCACCATCCCCCCACTCCTCCCCTCCACTATCACTATCGCACTGACCCCTGATCCCGGGGGGGAAGGGGTTACCGCCCAAGGAGCAGAGGTGGGCTGGGGAGAGGAGGAAGCGGAGAGGGGAGCGGAAGGAGCGATGAGGGGAGGACTCTGGGGTTGAAAGGCGGTGCTGCTGGTGCTGCTGGTGCTGGTCGTGCGGATGGTGCTGGTTACTGTGGTTGGTGTAGTTGCTGTGGTGGTTGTTGTGGTGGGAGGGTGCTTCAGGTAATTGATTACCAATCTCAAATTGGTTGTGAGTTAAACTGCCGCCTTTGCTGCTGCTGTTGGTGCTGCTGGTGGGAGTGGTGGAAGCAGGACGGGCCGGCGAGTGTCGGAAGGGTGACGAGATGGGGGTTGTCGAAAGGGAGAGAACAGAGGTGGAAAGAGAATAAGGAACGCCAGCAGCACCGGCACCAGCAGCACTAGCAGCAGAAGCAGCAGCAGGAGACGCATCGATGCCTGGGGGCCACAGTCCCCCCTCCCCTCCCTCTTCTCCTGCTTTCCCTCCTCTCCTCCCAGCCCATCTTAAGTCTTTCATCGCAGCAGAATCTGATGTCGATCGATTGAACACTTTCTTTCGATGCTTCACCTTGCCGCCTTTGGGACCACCAGCAGCGGCATCCTTAACAGTTCTCCCACTACGGCTACCGTCCCCACTCCTGTTGTCGTTACCGTTACCACCACTGTGACTGAGCTGGTTACCAGGCAGATCATTCACGGCTCCCCCGTCGAAATCCGGCCATCCGTTCTCCGTGCTTAAAGCCGAATCCCTTACTGTGTGACCGTCTACCTCTTTCACTCTCCTGCTCCCTCTTAAAGCACCAAGAAAGCTCCTCTTTTCCACTTTACTCTCCCCTTCCCCCTGCCGCTGTTCCTCTGCCCAGCCTGCTGCTTCCCCTGGTGCCGAACCAAAATCTAGGCTCGGACGACGACATTTTTGCCCTGCGGATTTCGGTTTCACCAGACCTAGATTCAGCGACTGTGGCTTCGCCGAACGTGCAGGTTTGGAAGCCGTATCGCCTGTCTCCTTCTGCTGCAGCTGCTGCGGCTGCTGCTGCTGCTGCCGCTTGTGTGGCAGGGAGGAGCAGCGGCAGATAGGGTAACCATCCGAATACTGTAGCTGCCACGAGCGGTGTGCGTCCGCTGTTACTCGCTTCGCCTCCTCCCTCTCCTTTGTTCGAATTGCCATGCCGTGCAGCTTCAGCTTGCTACCGGGGTGAGCTGTAAGGGGGACAGGGAGGAAAGGCGGGGAGGAGGAGGGGCCCAGGGCAAGGGTAGCAATCTTAGGGGAGTAATGGAGAAAGGGGGGAGGGGGGTTGGGGGGTGGTTCTTTAGAGTACGATCCGCACTGGGGACAAGCCTCGAGGTAGAACTTCCGGGCATCAGTTGTATGGGCGAGATCGACCAAGCTGAGAGTTTGGGTCATCCGGTCCGTGTAACTGATGCCCTGAAGTTCCACCTCGAGGCTTGCCCGAGCGCAGAACGCGCCCTTACTCTCTCGAGTGCTTTTATTTTTAGGTCTGGCCGAAATGATGGGGTAAGTTGCCCTTGAAAGGGGTTCCTTCGCACCTTTCTTCGCCCAGATGGCGAACTTTCGCGTGTTATCCGTGTTCGCGAACCACCGCAGTAACAATTCGTCGTTCGTCGCCAGCAGATCGTCAGCGGCGACCACCACCAATCGCCACCAGCACTCCACGTGTTGTTTCGCGCCGCCAGCAGCAGAATCGTCGCCTGTTACGCTCGCCGAATCAGAAACAACCGATTCGGCGTCCCACGCGCTGTAGTTCCCAGACGAATTCTCCGTTAGAGAGTTCTCCCTTAGTAGTCCCCCGGCTAGCGTCCCCCTTCTTCCGGACCTATTCCCTTCCCCCGCGTTATTTAAACTATTCCCTCCTCTTCTCCCCCGGCTAGGAGCCTTAACCGGCAGCGCGAGCACCGGAATGACGTCGTACACGTCACCCACGCGCCGTTGACACGCCTGCGGCCCGATCTCGAGCGCCTCGAGCGGCGCGCTACTTAATAAGTCCATGTTAAGTTCCTCGCTACGACTGCTCCCGCCTAGAACCGCCGTCTGCGGAAGAAACCCGCGCGCGGGGCAGCCAGCGGGCAGCGGCTCGGTCAGCGCCGCCAGCGCCGGTTCCGCCGCAACGAGGTGTCGAACCCGCGTCCGCCGCTCCCGTTCCGCGATGAGGTCGCTGGCGGAAGCGGTGCTGGACGAAACAGCGGCAGAGGCGGAGGCGGAGGCGGGGGAGTTCCGCGTGGGCGGGGCGTGCGCGGAGGGGTCGGCAGGGGGGACGGCGCTGGCGGTGCAGACGAAGCGGCAGCGGCCGAATTCGCGGAGAGCGGAAGGGTTTGCGCGGTCGAAGAGGGGCGGGTGGTGCCAGGGATGCGACATGGCGGCGGGGCGGTCGCACGTGGGGCAGGTCGTACCCATCAGCCGCGCCGCCAGGGCTCGATGCGCGGGGTCCACCTGTGGAATGCACGTCCCTAAAACGGCAAAGTCCATCGCTGCGAAATCTATCGCGAAAAGGAGGAAGCTGTCGTGAAGCGAGTCGGTCCAGACGGCGGATCGCGGATCGCCGGCCCGGCTTGATACCGTTCACGGTAATCGCAAGTTGCGCTGGAGCTGTACACGTCACGCCGGACGGTCGCAGACTCTACTGAGCTCTATTGGAGTGGCCTGACAGCCATGGGAGGTCAGCTTTCTGGTTGAGAATTCTCAAAAACAGAACATGTCCTCACGGCAATTTGGAAGTCAGAGTACAGAATATGAGGTGGCTGCAGCGAGCGACGTGTCTGCTGACGTGGAGGAGACGATCGTCGTCTCTACTGAGCTCTATCGGAGGGTCCTGACAGCCATGGGAAGTTATTACGAATTTCGGGCGGACTGCGAATTTCGCAGAGAAATAACACCTAACGCTGCATATACGCCGTGTACGGACTTATATTCCCGCTGCGGACTGGATGTTCGCGTATAGCTCGAAAGTTGCGACTCGCGAGACATCGTAAGAGAAACAGTTCAAACTTTGCAAGCGACAACACTCGTTCAGGATGCTACAAGCTGTTGCTGCAGTACGGTCAGTGCTAGTACCCACATACTTCGCTGGGGCCTACGTGTCATTGCTGCAGTCTAGAGGCGTAAGACGTACAGTGTGCCGTTGCCGTGACTTGCGGCTGTTGGCTCCGTAACTACTCACTATGTGATGGCCCCGAGTGTCAGCTCGTGGTATGGATTGGATGGATGGCACTACGCTCGCGAACTGGAGGGCGTACCCGAGGCAATCCCTGCCCTCCAACTGCCCTTCAAACTCACATTGTTATGCGCATTCAGGGTTACCTCCTCAGGGTAACCTCGAGGGCTCCTCGGGGTTGGTTGGAGGTAGCTTTTTCGGCACTTCTTTTTTGGGACGGGGTAACTAATTCTGCTGCTCCCTAATTCCTGTGGCTGCTCTCGGGCGAGGCCATAAGAGGGGCAGGGAAACAAAAGGACGACCCCATGAGATCACTGTACCGTGTGATTTGGGCAGACGAAACAAAACGAGCCCGAAGCAGGCTGTCTCCTTGGAGAGGAGGAAAGAAACCGAAGCAGCAGCAAAGTGAAAAGGCTCCTTCCGGGCACTACAGTACAAATTGAGGATCACTCACCAAAGCAGCCTCTCCCCCCGCCCCTCTCCTCCTCCCCCCCCCCCCCCACCAGGCCTCTTGCTAAGAGGGTAATTATCTTTAATGTCAAGAAATTAAAGTTAACTTCTACAGTGATTCCGTTTTTTTTACAGTGTGATTGTTTGCCGAATCCGTCCAACTTACGGAAACAAAATCGCGCGATTCCTTAGCCTAACGAGTACTTTTTTTCGAATCTGTACGGGCTATACATGTAGCAGGGCAATCTGTCCACCCCCACCCCCCTACCCCCGCCCAACCCCGCCTTTGATCACTTGCTAGCCGAATTTGTAGCTGCCGATTCCTTTCGGTAAACGGGTTCTTTTTGGAAAAAATCCGTCTGTAAACGGGTAATCTTGAGGCGATTCCGTCCCCTTCCAGAATACCCTGGGGCTTAGCGAGAGGCCTGCCCCCCACCCCCAACCACGCCGCATTGGCCATCACTGTATCTCACGCGTATCAAACGGTCAACCCCCAATCGCCCTTGTTCTGTACGGCGACTTGTGGAGGGAATGTGAATTTACACCGCCCCAGGCCATGCGCGAGGTTAGGGACTGAGGGAGCCAGCCTGGCTCGATGCACAAAAGTCGTCGATTTTTCCTTCGTACAGCGCGGTCCAGCAAGGATAAGCACTTGGGGTGCTCTTTTCAGTCGGGACCAGCAGCTACGCCCAAGCACGAGCGCTGATTAGACGCGGTTGTCTTGAAAGTTGCAGCGAAGATTGTTCAGAACAAAAATCGTGCTCAGCAGGACTCGAACCTGCGCGGGCAGAGCCCAACAGATTTCTAGTCTGTCCCGTTAACCACTCCGGCATGAGCACATACTATTGAGCCAGCAGTATAATTTCAAGAAATTAAAACCGAAACTTAATGTGCTACAGACAAAGTCAAGGCACTTATTTGTACAAATACTGATCTGCAGGAAGAGTCTTATGGATATTTAATTGGAAGGCAACCATGAATTTAATACAAAGGAGGATGTTGGAGACATGTGCTAGTTACTACAGTGGTTGGGACGGTAGTACACTGCAGCCACCTAAAACCCCGTGGGTCGGCCAACAATGCATGCAGGCGATGCTGCTTCTGCCACATAGTATTCCAGGTAACGCAAGTCGGTTCTGACCCTGTCCATGGTGAGGCTACGGCACCTGAGTACCCTTGGAATGACGATATTATCCACGCCATGGGATATGAAATAGGGGCCCTGATAATTCTCGCGGTTATCACTGTGCACCATTTGGGCTTGGGCGAACGGAGGAGCCCGAACGACACGTTCACAGCGTTTACCGGAGTCTGCTTGTATTGAGGCTGCTTCAACATCGTCGCGAACGCCCTTGGCTTCTGCTTCCTCAGAAACGCTAAAGTCATCTTCGTTATAAGCACGTGATACGCGGTGACGTTGTACATCTTGGGCAAGTTCTTGGAGACGGCGGGACGAGTTTCGTGAAGGCAGCCCACGCGTTGTTATCTGGCATCAGAATCGTCGCGTCCTTTAGCGCGGACACGTCATAATTCAGCGACATGGCGGCCTTCACGGCATTCGCGAACTTGACGTAATTCGGGTAATGAGCGTTAACGTGATCCGCCATCTTCTTTACTTCCGCTTTAATTTGCTCCTTGGTCGGCGCTGCCGTCACATACTGGCGAGCCAAGCGCCGGTCCCCGCGGTAACTAGAAGCGCGACGATTGACGCGCAGATGAACGACACCGCGACCATATCGTGAACGTCTACTAAGCTGCCTACAGTTGACAAACGTCGCCATCGCGAGCGGCCAACGACACCTTGTCGACACAGACTGGACGTTCGTAGGCAAGAAGCGAGCCCTGTCGTACTGCTGGAAAAACTAATGAATAAAGAAAAGAGGAAAACTAGTACAAGAGAAGGCCTGGTCCAAGAAAATACTCTCCCCACTGAAAAGAACTGATACAAGTCGGGGTGGTGATGGGGAGTGATGGAGCAAGAAAGCCCTCTAGCGTTTGAGCATCGTGGGGGAGCAGTACTTTTGGATCGACGGTAGATATTCACGCTTCGGTTGTGTTCAAGGACCAGCCATGCGAGGATCGACGGCACCGAAAAAGGGGCACCGGCGCCCATGTTCCCGATTACAGCCGCAAGAAACGCTCAGTCCGACGTGCCAGCGCCTCTCTGGGGGAAGAGGGCTTGCCATCCACCGAAAACATCGTCTCACCGACATGGGATGGTTTGGTCGGTTTGAGAGTGGCAACTAGTGACAACCATCGCATGTACACCCTGATAAATGGTACTCGCTAAATGCTAGCTTTACTGATTTCCAACCAAGAGCTGCCCATGATTGTACAAGAAATCACTAACTCCATGCCTCCAAAAAAGCTTCTCAACGAAGCGTGATTTCAGAATACTCGCTTCCCTTCAAGCTTTTACCACCTGTTCTTCACTCGACTGGCACTTGGCATCTTCTTGGAGTTGCTTCCGAGCCCGTCGCTCAACGTGCGCTTGCCAGTAGGACCGAGCGAGCAGTCTCGAAGGATAAAAACCCAATGGCGGAAAATGCAGCATTGTAAAGAATGCGGGAAGTCATGCCACGAGTCAGTCCTCGTAATCCCTCCTCCACCCATATATGCTTCAGCGTCGACGCCACACCTTTATATGTGTATGCAGCTGCAGCCTGCGCTCGAGCTGCTACCTCTGCCTGTTATGGGGGATGCATTGAACATCACATGGTGTTGTAAGAAGCAGAGTTGCCACAGGGAATGGATGAGCATCGCGGGATGGTGGAAGAAGAGGAGGCACGTCCAGGCGCGCAACGAAGCACAGCTGATAGCAACTGCAATACACCCAAAAAGAATGCCAAGAGGGTAGTTACCTTTGCCACTGCTACTGCCACTCTTGCCTGAGTCATGAGGCGGGTCTTAACCACATCCAGGGGCGTGGTGAGTGCGGCTGTCAATGCCTATGCCAACGGATCAGCTGAAGGATGCTTTCCTTTGTCCCAGCGGTACCCCTGCTGACACTGCCACTCGCGCCTGAATCTTGAGGCGGGTTTTGAGCGCATCTAGGGGCGTGGTGAGGTCAGCTGACGACATCTCACCCACCCAAGCAGAAACCATCAGAGAAGCAAGATGGGCAGTTGCCTGTGCACCAGTGGTGCCTGCTGCTGACACTGCCACTCGCGCCTGAGTCATGAGGCGGGTTTTTACCACGTCCAGGGGGCGTGGTGAGGGTGGCTAACAACAGCTACACCCGCCCAAGAAGAAACCAACAGAGTAGCAAGAGAGGCAGTTTCCTTTGCCCCACTGGTGCCTGCTGCTTGCCACTGCCCACTCTCGCCTGCGTCACGAGGCGGGCCTTGACCACATCCAGGGGCGTGGTGAGGGCGGCTGAAAGTGCGCCCGCCTGTAAACAGATCAGCAAAAGGGTGCTTACCTTTGCCCCAGTGGTACCCCGCTGCTGCCACTGCCACTCGCGCCTGCGTCATGAGGCGGGTCTTAACCACATCCAGGGGAGTGGTGAGGGCGGCTGACAGTGCCCCCGCGATTCCTCCCGCTGCCATGCTCTCGTGCGGCCTCAGGGAGGTTGAGTGGTTCACATGGAGTATCGCCATCTTCAGATACTCCTGATGGTGGAAGATGGGGTGGGGCAAACAGATGGGGGTAGCACATGGGCAGCACATGGGTTGCTCTCATGCGGCCTCAGGGAGGTTGAGTGGTTCACATGGAGTATCACCATCTTCAGATACTCCAGATAGGTCAAACAAGGTGGAAAATGAGTGAAACCTGGGGAGGCATTCCAAGGGGCGTGGTAAGGGCAGCTGGCAGTGTCCCTGCCAGGCTGCCACTGGGGAGAGGGTATGGGGAGAGGGTGCGGGGAGAGGATATGGGGAGAGGGTGCGGGGAGAGGGTATGGAGAGAGACGTATGTAGTGATGGATATCAAAAGGAGGATGTGGGGAGAGGGACGTGGAGAGAGCATGGTGTGTGTGGCATGGGAGCACGGGAGCATGGGAGCATGGGAGCATGGGAGCAGAGCAGCAGCGTACGAAGGTGGAGAAGTTGAGCACGGTTGGTGGGCAGGTTGCGCAGGGGTGGGGGGAAAGATGAAGGGAAGAGGGGCGTGGGCAGAGCGTGGTTTGTGGAGCACGGGGGAAGAGAATGGGAGCATGGGAAAAGAGCACGGGAGCACGGGAGCATGGGAGCATCGGAAAAGAGCATGGGAGCAGAGTAGAGCAGTGGCGTACGAAGGTGGAGAAGTTGAGCACGTTGGTGGGCAGGTTGCGCAGCAGAGCAGCCAGGTACCCACTGTACAGCCCCGCCACGCCCTCCAGAGCCACGGTCTGCTGGCAGCACGTGCAGAGCTGAGCCTGATGCTCCCGCCTGATAGGAAATTGTAATTCGGCGCATCACATCATTGCAGGGTGCATGAGGTGGCAGGGTGCATGAGACAGCAGGGTGCATGGGGTGGCAGGGTGCATGAGACAGCAGGGTGAATGGGGGTGGGAGGGTGCATGGGATGAGAGGTCGCACAGCAGGGCAGCCAAGTACCCGCTCCTCCAGAGCCACCGT